GTAATGCCATATTTTTGTTTTTTCAAGTATTCTTGATATTAGTAATATATATATTTTTAGTTAGATTGTTAGGTGTATATGAATTACGAAGAATAAGGTTGTTGTTAGGCTGCTTTAACTGTACGGTGGTCATATTTTTTTAACAGATACACATATATTCAAATTGAAATATCACATTCTAAAAAAAATAATGTTAACAAAATTACGACATTTCATAATTAATATAAGTAATAATATAAGTAATGCACTTTTATTAAGAGAAGTAGAAATCATTGAATTAATGTTATGTTTATGTTTAGTACACTAATTTTTTTCACCCAACTATGCAAGATCCGAGACAGATCATTTTATGTACTACCTCCTATTTTTAATATATGTTGTTTTGAGAAGTTGCACACTAATTAAGAATATTTTTTTTTTGTCAATAATAACCTTATTTAATGAAGATAGAGATGAATGTTTTGAGAAAAAGTGAAGAGTGAATATGAAAAGACGTAATGTATTTATTGGCTAAATGAGGGTAATAATGGAAAAATATATACAAAAGATCCAAAACGACATTTATTTGACAAATAATTGAAAATACTAGAATGACATTTAAAAAAAAATAGGAGGGAGTAGTATTTTTGCTTAGTTGAGTAAGCCTCAAAATAAATTTTAAATATTAATTGTCCAAAACTTATCTATTATACTTGATATTTAATTTTCCTATACTTATTAATAAACTGAAATAGAGAATTCATAATTTAATAAATTATTGTATTGATTTTGAGATAGTAACTTTATTGGTTGTATATATGGTCAGCAGCCTTTGATATCCTTAGAAAAGTGATATAAACCAAAGATTCCTTGCCTTTCACGATGAGGAATTCCACTTGTACTGTTCCCAGTCCTTAATTGTCCTACTATAGGATATAAATAACACGCTAGATTTCAAATTATCGGTAATTGTATTAGAACTATTGAGTTTTTTTATCGTCACCCCAGTTGAGTTTGGGCTGCCGACCTGACTTACAAATGAAGGGACGTGTGTTAGAATATCATATGTGAGTTGTCTCGCATCGTTTATATAGAGAAAATAAGTCTAATTTATAAGTCTAATGGATTACTCTTTCTCCGACCAATTGGTTTTATGATGAAATTCCATTAAGACTAATCTAGGCTCACCCTACTTTGGTGCGCTTCACGTCCGTGGGACAGCATCCGTCAACCCCCGTTTCTTACATAATCAATATTTACAAACTCATAATATAATGTTTTAGATTTTAAGTTGTTGATGTTTGCATTTCAGCCATTGTTTTTTCACATTTAGATCAAAGTGTAACAGAAAATGACTCTTCAGCAACAATAATTGCGTTTTCAAATTTTCATTTTCTAATAGTGATCTTAGTATACATATTTATTAAAAAATATTTATATAGTTATTTAATTGTATTGCCAATCCAAGAAAGTTTGACAATAAAACAGCCACCACTAATATCACCTTTATATTATCACAAATCCTACATTTTAGATTATCTGGTTTGTTGGTTGATTGTGTAAAACCCTCAGCATTTTTTTTTTTAATTTTTAATTTTTTTTTTTTTTTTTGTGTGTCTGTTTCTATGTGTTGATTTTAGTTATTTATCTTTAAAATCAATATCAATTATGGGATAATTAGAATATCATTACTATGTAACATGGGCTAGTGATGTAGAATAATGTGGGTTAGAATTAATTCGGTAAGATAATTTACTGCCATTTGTCCGCAAATGGAGCTGGAAGAGTCATTGTTGACAATTCTCACGGTAGTGTGCTAATAATGGACTAAATCAAAATGACTCAATTAAATTCTTGTGCTTTTTCTATTAGTGAAGTTTCTAAAAAAAATATATATATAAAAAATGCACCTTGGTTGCTACGAAAACAGTCTCCTTGTATAATTACAAAGGTAAGAGTTGCGTACAACTGACCCCCCAGACCCCAACCAGTTGGGAGTATATTGGGTATGTTATTGTTGTTGTTGTTGTTGTAATTTATTGACGCGCATCTTTTTCACCTCAATATAAATACATTTTACGTTTTTCACACTGTCGACAATTTAATTTTACTATAAATCAAATATACATCGATGAATAATTGTAATTTATTTTTTTCTAAATAGAAAGTTGTACATGTGAGATTTGAAAATCATGAAAAGAAGATATTTCAAAATATGCATCGGTCGATGAAAATCCATACTATAACTTACTTTAAATTTTTTTTTTTTTTTTTTTTTTTTTT